TTTTCTTTCCAGAAGGAGCATGGTCACCCGGACAGGTAAGGAGCTGTGAGGCCCCCAGCAAACCCCCCATGGGGGCCATCAGCCAGGCAGAGCATTAGGAAACCTGCCCTGCACTCAGGTCCGATGTGGAGTGAGCATCCAGGAAACAGAGAAGTCCAGGGGGAAAGCAGAGCACAGCGGGACTGCCCTTGTCTGTCAGCTTCGCCAAAGAGTTTCCAAGAATGTGACAGCACACTTTTAAACTCCCTTACACTAGTGATACACAAGACAGAACAAAAATCTGGTTTTAAACAAATTAGGAGCATTTCTAAGGAGCAGAACTTCTGAAGTCTACTTGTTTCCAGCTCGTAAGTTGAGCCTGAGGCAGACGTGCATGCTACCAAGGAGTAGGACATACATTCCCCTTGCTTGAAGATTTCTTCTTCCTCAGGGGTCTCAGGAACGAGTGGGTTAACAAATGCTGGCCTACGGGCAAGAATCAGTTTTTACGTTACAAACGTCATAAGAATTTGCCCTGTGAACACATTGTAAGAGTCTTCCATGTTTGCTTACGTACACGTTACGAGATTAAAAGACATACACTTGAGGGAACGTGGCAGCTGCCAAGCAAGTATCGTATTAGCCTTAACTCTGAAGAAGCAGTTAAGTGCTCCAGCCACTACCTCGTGTAATTGAGAAAGTGCCAGCGTGGCGTCTATGCTTCTTCAAGAGCTACAGCTGTACTCACAGGTTATAATTCAGATTATTCAAGCAAAAACCTGCTTAGAAACCGAGCAAATGAAGATGTAATGATCTCGGGTAGTCTAAAAGTGATACACAAAACTTGAAAGGGATCATCTCCCCTGGAACAGAAAGAGCACAGCTACCAAGCGTTCTTACTATCTACACGTTCCCATGACAGCCTTATCAACAGCCAAAAGCTGTTTATTTACCACATGTACTACTTATCAAAGAAGAGGATATGAGGCTGCCTTGAGTACAATTTACATGTTTATTTTACTGCACAAATAAGTTTACTCTAACATAATTATATAGCATTTAATTATTTCTTTACACAAGGCAGCGCAAATGCTTGTTTTCAAGAGCCATTCTGACCCATATTTTCCAATTATGATTTTTGCTGAACAGTTCACCTCTACCTTCACTTGGGCTGGTGACAAGAAGCATGCAGAGAGGACCTTTTTGCTTGGAACAAACTTCTTATTCCTGGTTTGTGAAAGTTCTGGATTTGGGAGACACACCAGCCCCTTCTCCATCGCAGAGCTCCTTCTCCCCCATCCTCAGCCCAGGACACTTTTACAGCAGCTCTTCTGTCTAAGCCCCAAGTTTGCCATGGTCCCAAAGCCACACAACCGGGTTTCTGTGGCACTACAACCACCCTAACATACCCTGCACCTCTCGGGAAAGTTTTCACCTCACATGGGATAAATACCTTCCCCACATGGACAGAATGCTTCCAAAACACAGCTGGCTTGTGGCCTGCTGGCTTGAAGAACAGCTACTTCAGTTTGTATCTATCTGCACAAGTCCATGTAGGCTTGTCCTCAGTCAATCTGTCAGTGTATAATTGCATCAGGTTTTATGTAATTCTTTTGCAAAATAAGTCCTCAAAATGGGGACCATAACTATAAAGGGTTTGCTTTAAATGCATAGTATGTTAATGGGTTCAAAAAAGTGTCACAAATTTGAAGGAAACCAACCTAATAATTACTTCTAACACTACCAGGACTAAATAATTATGTCAAGCAAAACCCCTTCATTAACCATATTCTTATTCCTTCAATACAGGCAATTATTTAAACTGGTTAGAAACCAAAAATTGTTTATTACATTTGCAGGCTGCACAAGAAAGAGGTAAGAAATACAGCTGATGTTTCTGGTGCTGGAGTCATAAAGCAAAACTGAAACTGAGCAGCTGTTAGTTTAATGACTAAGGAATCAGAGAGAGAGTCAAAAAAAAAAAAAAGTGGGGTTTTTTTTAAGTTCTATAGGAATACTTATCAGTTCCATCTTACTTACATAATCAAGTTTGAGGCTCAGTTACAATGATGACACCTCTCGTGTCTATTATGGAATTAATGGCATTATTCACTCAATTTAATCACTGAAACTCAATCTCTTCCATTTTCATGGCAAGAAGGCAATTAACTAACTACTGCAATGCAGGCAGGTTTCTAGCAGAGTCACACACTTCTGTGTTCATCAGGCCAGCCATCCAAACACAGGGAAAAATCTGTTAAAGAAAAGGGTCAGATCCCAAGACTAAGCGCAGTTCTCAGAATCATGTGACTGCTGAAATCAATGCTCTGAAGCTTGCCCCAGGAAACTAACGCTTGCCTGCAACTGTAAAACAGAAGGTTCAAGCTGAACATGAGGAAACCCTTCTTCACTGGGAGGGTGACAGAGCACTGGAACAGGCTGCCCAGAGGGGTGGGGGAGTCTCCTTCCCTGGAGACTTTCAAAAGCCGCCTGGACTTGTCCCTGTGTGGTCTACTCTAGGTGATCCTGCTCTGGCAGGGGGGGTGGACTAGGTGATCTCTAGAGGTCCCTTCCAACCCCTACCATTCTGTGAATTTATTTATCACCTACACTGTATGGCTCCTACACATACATAGCCAGCTGCCATGTTTGCTATTTCCACCACAACGGGAGTCTGAAAACCGTTTTCCTGTCCTACAAATTACCGTTTGTTCTCTGGATCCCGGGCCACCATGACAAAGGTTGCATCTAACACAGGGCTGTAATCACCATCGTGTAGCTAAGAGAGACAGGAAACAATTACATTTTTAAAACTCCAAAATTGTAAATGTGCTTAGCAAGCTATTCAGTTGACATCAGCTATGCCACCATACTGTTAATGTTGTTTACTTTCACGTTCTGTCATGCCTTCCAAGATCTCTTACAACAGGTCAAACAGAAGGAAATAACACAAAATTGTAGTTGCAGGAATTCTGCAGTGTAAACATTAAGCAGTGAATGTTTATTAACTGCTACTTTCAGCTGGGAGGGGAGGAAATCAACACAGGCATTGTAAAAAGGGCCCACTTACCCTTTATTCTGAGAAATGACAAAACAGCAATTTTTTTGTCAATACTAAATTGCCACTAATGCCAGCGCTGCGTGGAGTTCACACAATGAAGGTGTAACATTATCCTCTGCATCAGAGACTTTGCTTAAGGTGACCAACCGAATAAAAAAAATATGTATCTGTTTATCTGAATTATAGCCACTAATACCATTAAGTGTTTATAGCAGATCTTCATTACCCTAAAGAATTAAATAACATTTTGGTTAACTATGCAACTGAGAGTAAATATTTAATAGAAATTTTAAGGATTTTAATTGAATCATTAATATTCCTTTTGCTTCCCACACAGTGTAGCTTAGTTATACCCCTCATTTAACTATTTTTCTGTTATTTAGTATTTAATAACTTATCACAAAAATTATGCTACACAGCAAATAAAATGAACACAAAAGATACAATTTAATACTGAATCTGAATACCAACATTAACGCTTACAAATCTACAAAATGCAAAGGAACAAGGAAACTAAAGTTCTTCAAAAGCAGGAAGAAACTTGTTTAAGAACGTGCAGAGCGCAGCCACCTATGTTTTCTGTAGGAGTACTGTGCTGCAGTTTAATTACAAAATGCTGGTTAAGAAAAATGCGTGTCTTGAAAGATTAGCCACACAGGATCTTGCTGCACCTACACTACTGGAAGCTGTCTTGCTCTGGAACCACTCGGACTGTCTCAAGCCCTTCAAACCAGTTATTCTAGAAAATAGAATTTAGCTTGATAAAGTCATCAGCCAGCATTCCCCCTGAAGCCCCTCACGCCTGCCATAAGAGGGAGAGAAGTCACAGGGACTGACCTGCAGCATGTGCATCTTCACTTCCATCGAGGTCCTCCCAACCCAAGAAACATTGCCAGTGAATTTGATGTCACAGTCTGGGTATATAATCTTCTTGCACAAATCTACAAGACAAACATTAGAGGTTACTGGAGACAGGTCACTCATATCTGATGTCAGACTGGATTAAGACTTGTGTTCTGTGACTGGCAGCACGCACAGAGACAGTCCACAGAAGACAGCTGCTGGAAGGGACCACACTGCTTGCCTGCAGCTTCTGCCTTACCAGACTCCTAAAGCCAGCACAGGAGGAGGAAAGAGGCAAACAGGTGGCAGCCGGGTGGCAGACCCACAGAGATGTCAGCAGAACAGGCGACACAAGCGAGGTCCGACTCCACCACAACAAACACTGTTCAGTAATGAAGCTAAGAAACTCACGTGCCAAACAAAACCAAACACAGAAGTGCAGGAAGCAGGAAAGTTGTATTTTGAAGGGAAGGGAAATACGAAATGCAGAAAAGCATCTACAAAACCTCCTTCTCTCCTCCCTTCGCCAAAAGCCACAGCACCCAGTCCAAAGCCAAAACGAGCTGAAGGGAACTAAGCAGGAGAGGGAAGAAGGTACCCTCAGTGACAACCACGGGAAGGCAGTTGCTGCTGAAAGAGTAAGACAAACAGATGAAACCATTTCTACTGGCCAAATTGCCACTTACTGATTTTATCCACCAGAGCTGTAACTATGGATAAGGGAGACCTTGGCTGCATTTCCTGCTTGGTGTGAGTGTAGCAAATAAGAACTGTGGAGAGACCAAAAACAGTCAGCTGTTTAACAAAAACTTCAGTGGAGCAGATGAAAGCCATCTTTGTGAAGCGTGAGATGTACCTGCAAAACACAGACTAGAGAATCATACTGTAGGAGTGCACATGATGCCCACATTTTCATGTATGTAATTCACAGGATTGCTATAAAGAAAGGAGTGATCAGCAGCCATCTCCGTTATATGCATATTTACTTACTACAAAGAGAAATTTAGCTGAGCACTTTAAATCAACCCACTGCTCCACCTCTAGTCCCACATAATCTCCTCCCTCTACCCCTGCAGCCCACTGTCCCAAATCCTTCCTACCTTCTATTTGGATTTCATGCAGATTCTCCAAGGACACATGCTCTCTAAGGACTTATTTTCAAATACTGATTCTTTAAAAGAGGTTCAGATTAGATAAACCCTGCCTTACAGGCATGAAAGCATAGTCAGAGGTATTTATCATGCTGTAATTACTACTAGCCTAGCCACTGTTTTAATTAATTAGCTCTGCTAAGAGCACATCCAAGTAAACAGACTCCTTAACGTAACACACAAGCCTTCAAAGATCTTTTTTTTCTCATACTCATGTGATTTTTTACTCAACACAAATTTCCATAATCAAATGTATCTGCTTGTACTTAATGAGATAAGAGAGAAGGAAGATCTCTGTCCTTCCAGGTAATCCAAGTTATCCAAGATTTATTTTTTTCCCCTAACATCACTGAAGTCACAATTCTAAAAACTGTTATGCCTATCAACTCATGCCATCCATATGATCAGTAAGAGTCAGAATGGGATTTATCTGAGTCCTACTGCCAAAGACAAAAAACTGGAAGTTGATGAGACTTTCATGCAGTACATCTGCACAGATCACAGAATATACTGGGTGGGAAGGGTGATGAAACAGTGCATTTTCCTGTGCAAACTGCTGACCACCATCTTGAATGATTTGTCACTGGGACAGAATCTTGACTAACCCAAAACGATTCATCCCCAGTGGCACTGACTGAAGCCCCGTATGACTACAAACAAGGCAAAGACATGCTGTGCTCCAACAGGAAAAAACTAAGATCTTCAAAGATTTCCAGGGAAAATAACCAAGGCACAGTATGAAAAACAGGCTTCTCTCGTCTACAGTGGAAGGTAGCCAATAGTTTCAAGTCTCCTTTTCTAATTCAGGACAGGTACTGAATCCACTATCTTCCACAACCCAGAAATAAATATAAATCATCGAGCTATTTTGTCTGTCCTTGATAGAGAGGTGACATGCATTCACTTGTTTCTCTGCCTTCCTCAATTTTGCCCATCTAGACACACAGGTCTTTCTTTCCTCCCAAAAAAACACTGTTCCATTCAGAACTTTCCCTTAACAAGCACTTATTCTTTGTCAAAAACCTCCCTCAAGATGCTCTCAACCAGCTACAGAACTCTGATGAAGAAAGAAGTCACCTGGCGACATTTTAAAAGTATCTCACAGAATCACAGAATGGTTAGGGTTGGGAGGGACCTTAAAGACCATCCAGTTCCAACCCCCCTGCCATGGGCAGGGACACCTTCCACTAGACCAGGTTGCTCAAAGCCTCATCCAGCCTGGCCTTGAACACTTCCAGGGATGGGGCATCCACAGCTTCTCTGGGCAACCTGTTCCAGTGCTTCACCACCCTCTCCGGGAAGAACTTCTTCCTGATATCCAATCTAAACCTCCCCACTTTCCATTTAAACCCGTTACCCCTTGTCCTGTCACTACAGGCCCTTGTAAAAGGTCCCCCCCAGCTTCCTTGTAGCCCCTTCAGGTACTGGAAGGTGCTATAAGGTCTCCCCGGAGCCTTCTCTTCTCCAGGCTGAACAAGCCCAACTCTCTCAGCCTGTCCCCATAGCAGAGGTGCTCCAGCCCTCTGAGCATCTTCATGGCCTCCTCTGGACTCACTCCAACAAGTTACATTAACAACTTAGCACTTAGCTGGAAAACAAAAGTCAAAGATTTGAACTTTTAATGACCATGAATAAATGAAAGAGAGAAAAAAATTAAGAAAGCTAGCTCATGAAACAACTAAGTTGTTTTTACCCTCAACATCAGTGTGGAGACAGAACCCAAGAATCTATACCAAGGGATTTTCATTTTTTCTCAATGGATACGTTATGTCCTGTCCAGATTATACTTTCTTCTCCCCAAAGGGAAGATAAAAATATCTGTACCTCACTATCTGTTGGGCCTTGTGTTTTGTTGGGGTTTTTTTAAAGACAAAAATCACACGTTTTAATTTGAAATAGCATGCTCTGCAAACATTCTGATTTAACACTCAATGCAGATTCATAATATAGGATCATTTCTCAGTAAATTATTCCTGTAGCTGGTCCTTTACAAAATTGGCACAGGCAAGAAGCTGAAGCTGAGCAATGTTGTTTCTGTCTGTTCTTTATCATCCTTTTCTCTCTTCCATCTCTTCCAGAACCTCGCTGGTTTTAGTTTTCCCTTTGAGACAGCGCATTGATGCGATTCCCTCCCTGAGGTCACACCACACCACACCAAACAGTGCTCAACAGTACCCAAAATCACTTTGTTTGCATTACTTGTGCATTCTTTACAAGGCATAACTACATACCTCCTAAACTGTCAAGATCTTCAAGTATCCTTCCAAACCTGCAAGATATGATTTTTGATGATTAAATACCTACATCCATAGCGAAGGAAAGTTAACACTTTCCTGTATGTCTAACACCGTTGTTTTGTTACCTTACGCTGTTGTGTACATTCAGGTACTTTTCTCTTATTTCAGGTTGACTTCCTAGAGGCAGAATCACTTCCAAGTAGCTGTCCTTCATTCTCCTAGGAGGGAGATCTTCCTGCCGTTTTGCCAGTAAAGTATGAAGAGCTTTTCTTTCTTGCATTGCTTGCACATGATCCCTGGTAAAAGAAAAAAACCCAAAACAAAAGCCACCACTCTCTCTGGAGTATGACAACAGAACTGCAACCCTAGCTAAAAGATGTCACAGCGAAGATTATCGAAATGAAAGCAAAAAAGTAGTAAAAATAGCCAGACACAGTAAGTGTGCCTTGAGAAGAAAAACGCACATGATGTGCCAAGCACGACTACTGCAGAAAACTTTGTGTACCAGTGGCAAGCACATGCTTGGCGCTAGGGAGATGAACAAGATTTATGTCGTTCTGAATGCTACTAAAATGGTTCCCCTTGGAAAGAACAAATCAGACGTAATTTAACCTATGAGCTTTTGTGCATGCTAATGTGTTCCACGTCACAACTCTTCCTATGGTGCCAATTTTAAAGGACTGGCTGTAAACTTGCAACCTCTCCCAAGAAGTGAAGCAGGCGCATAGTGTTGGTTAGTACCAACAACAAAGAACTAATCTGCTAAGACTTGCTACTATCCACAGGTGACTTCTCCCTTTACATCATCAATTCCTACAGCATACACTTGATCAGAAAGCTAAAAGAAAGGGAAAATTAATCTATTTCTTGCCCTCTGTCCCTACTCAAGTCATCTGACAACTGTAGAAAAGTCAGAAAGCTATAGAAAGAAACAATACAGAAAAGGGAGCACTACCCCTTCAGAGCTGCTTTTCCAGCACCACCAAATCAGAGGGGTTGGAGTCAGTCTCTCACAAGGGAGCAAGAACCAACTTACTGTCACTTCTTTCCAATCTACCAAGTTGGTTCCTTGCACATGTACCTATGAGATAGCACAGTTTGGCCCAACGTTCTCTCTGACCTGTTCCTCCAAAGTTCCCTCCCCTTAAAAGTGCAAGCTGACTGAATAAAGCAAGTATTTCATAACATCCCTAGGATGAACAACAAAGCACTAAAAACTGAAGGGTTAAACATGCAACAGTTCCAGTAGAAAGCCAAGGAGTACACAAAACTGTGAATCCACTTCATACAGCAAGAGAAGGCATCAAACACCAAGTAACCAAATTTGATTTTAAACACGTGGCTATGTGCCATCCTTTCAGTTGTGCATGCTGCATCGCCGAGAGCTGAGTGCCACTGTGTTTAACAAAACCAAATAAAAAAAAAAGAAATAAAACAACAGAAAGAACCTTTTCACCAAAAGGAAAATTTGTCTTAAGTTTTGACTTTGGATGAATTCTGGTTATTAGCCATTTAAGATGAAGACCTTTTTTTTGGGGTTGAATTTTATTTTTGGAATGGGGAAAGGCACAAAGCAGTAACGTTTCAACATATTTATATTCCCTCTTTACTGTTCAATAATTTTTGAGGAAACATGATTAATGCATCAAAGAGAGTAAAAGTCTAACAGAAAACTTCAGTTAGTTTTGTTTGGTTTAAATAGGACATATGGGCACCTCGTCTGGGGAACAGGACTACTGCCAAGTTCAGAGAAAATAGGTAACAACGTCCTCCACAGGGTTAATGTTTGAGGTTACACCACTGCACAGAAACAGAATACACTAGATGACGAAGGAAAGATGCAGCGTCCGAGACGATGCACCTTTATGCTTCTTACAAGATTTGTTTCCAAGGTCTTTCAGTGAAAGGTTTAAGAGAAATTAACCGGAGAGGAAATCAGAAGTTTGTCTACAAACACAGTGAAAACAAACGATACAAATTTAACTGTATTCTGCCTTCACCAATCCCATCCTGGCTTCTCTGAGGCCAGCAGCAGAACTCTTCTTGACTTCAGCTTCAGAATGCACTTTTCAATATATGGAAGTATTAGGCCCAAGGCAATACCATTTTTCAACAGTAAGTAGTGTTACACACTGCAGTACCAGTCACACAGTAACAATACTTCACCTAAGTATTAACTAATACCTGCCCTAGACATTCTGAGAAACAACACTATCTGCTTCTGAAATGGCCACAACTTTATCTAGACTACAATTAGCAATGAACCGATTAATAGTTTGATTACAATTTAAGTACAAAACCAGAACAGATACATAATCAAGGTATTTCTAATGCAAAATGCTGCTGGCCTTTACAGGAGAAATCATGAACCAGTTTTTCTTTTTAGCAAAATTAACAGCCAAAGCCATCCCTCCAACATGATCTCTCCCCTCTCCCAGCAATCCAGATGTACGTGCTCCAGTCCTTCCTTAGTTGTGCTTTTGGGACCCCTAACAAGCTATTCCCTTAGGTTTGTCCTCTTTAGTCATTCAGTGATCTAACTGGCTGGCTGTTCAATCTCCACGTGCATCAACTCCTTGTCACTCCATTTTAAAAGCGGGATCTCAAAGGCTACAAAATCCATGTCCCCCAAACTGCCCTATTTAAACCCGTCGTTCTCAAGCACTCCCAGCTATGGGCTCCCCGGCTTCACTTCTTCATGGCAGCCAACGCACGCAGTCCTCTGCAAACCACTTCTGCTCTGTTTTATACAGCACAGGAGACGTACCTATCCAAGCAAAACACTGCTGTGGTGATCCTGGCTTCAGTCTGCCCTCGTCCCAGGGTGGGAGCAGTGGAGGAAAAGAAATGCATGGAAGATCAGATTTGACCAGAGCCCTCTCAAATCCCAATCCTTGGATAGTATTTCCATATGCAAATTCCTCCCCTGCCATTCTGAGCTGCAGGAAAGGCTTTTTTAAAAATCAACTTCTAGAGCCCTTTTCAGCTGACCTACAAAAAACTTCCAAGCCCCCTCATGCTTAGATACTACAGCATTACTAAGCAAAAATCAGCTTCCCAGATGCAGGCATTTTCTTTAGCATGCCTACAATCCTGTTGAGACAAACCTAGTCAGGAGGCCTGGGCATCAGACCCTCCAGCCAGCCAGGCCTCTCCATTTCCTCATCAGTGCATGATGCGTGAATCAAGAGCTCAGCAAACACAACCGTAGAAAAACAAACAGTCAACACCATAAATATGGGACCAACCGAACAGCGATATGTAATTTCCCCAGAGTACTACACTGATTTTTTCAGAATTGTTAACAGTAGAAGATTACAGTCAACTCTGGCCTATTCAACATAAAGGAGGGGAAGGAAGATAACCTGCACAAAGCCAAAACATCAATTATTTCAACTGTATGTAAATTAAGCTAAAGTTAAGTTACAGCAGAGAAAAGAAATGTCCGAGATGCTCCTGACTAAGGAGAGGCACACCTCAAGCTGACAATTTTCCAAGTGACATGGGTGCTGCCAGGCCATCCATAACGCAGCCTGCCTCATGTGGAACCCGCTCAGTTGCCTCCGAGTCCAGTGCAGGACAAATCCACTGTGTGGGCAATCCACCAACGGGTAAGTTGAGAGGTAAGAGCAATGTAACATTTCCAGTCAGACTCCACAGCTCTTAAATCTCCACCAGATTCAAAGCTAACAGGGGAATCTTGTAAGCATCAAGACCACGTATTTTGTTCCTCTGGTGCTAAAGATCTTCGGCAAGACAAATCTCAGAAGACTACGACTCACAAAGTAACAACAGAGAAACCTTGGTTGCATTACATCTTAGCTTGGATCTTTTTTCTTCCCCAGTCAGCAAGCTAACATCATTTTAACCTCCACTACCACAACCCCCAGCTCTCCCTGGCTTTCACCAACAAAGTAAAATACATTTAATGTACACTGTACCTCCAGTTGGTAGATGCTCCCACTATATCTCTCAATCTGCTCCGCACTGGAAAAAAAAAAAACACATGAAAGCAAATTAAGCTTAGTTCTGCAGGTGATGAACGTGAGGTTGCCTGGTCCTAAAAGGCACAATCCTCATCCCAGAACAGGAAAAGTAAGCGAATTCATGCAAATAGCAGCCCAGAAGCAGAAGTTTGGCCAAATTCACTGATGCTGTTAGTAGGAATATCACAATAATGGGTTGAGCAACATGATTCCGTAGCTTACTGCGTAGAGCCAGCAAAGAATGCATCTCGAGTGCTTATTAACGCAACGAATATCTGCAACGCTAATTAACAACCGAAAGAGACAGCGGACCAAGATCAGATTGCGAAATGTCACGTGAAAATCTCTCAGCCTCATCACATAGAAACTGTGGAAATAACAAAAATCAGAAAGTCACAAAAGAACATCCAAAGGAACGGTGCGGCTGGGAGAGAGGAAATGAGGACAGTGATTTTTAAACAATCCCACCCACGAAGGGTGGGTAATGTCAGCCGATGGCCCACTGCCAGCAGGGTTTCATAGCCTAAGTTTTTAGCAGCCTCAAAGAACACAGTGTTAAGACACCGAAGACAGGCCTCTAAACACTGCCTCTGGCACTGTCTGCACTATCAGAGTCCACGCTAGCTCGGCACAGTTCTTTCCAAAATACCAAGTATAATCTGCACAAGCAGTTTTTCTACTCTTTCCTTGCACAAGGCTGTTAAGTGTGCTAAGGTCCCTTCAAGTCTATCAAACTACCCCGTCACTGTTAGGCAGGTGAACGTATGCTCTTTGGAAACACCTAAAAACAAGCAGCAACAGTGCCCAGGCTCAAAACAGAAGAAAGTTGAGTAGTGGATGGCAGGGATTCCTCGGTTATTTCCCCAGATTTTTATACAGGGAGGTTCAAATATTAGGACAAAGTACCTAGAGGCAGGCCAAGGAAGGGCTACCAAAACAAATGCAAATTTTACAATGAAACAGAAGAAGGGATGCTGGTGACTCACAAGCTGATCCTTCATACTTCCAGGTTATCAGACATCACCAGGCTTGGCACATTGCGAACTAAATGCCTGATCCACCCGGCTCTGCTCTCCCCCACCCGCCATACAGCCACTTCTGCTGCTTTCCTGCCCGAGTCCCTGCATCTCCGCCACTGCAACGCCCCTAACCTGCCCCTTCTTGTTCCTTCCCCCCCAAGGCCTTCAGCTCCCGTCCGTGTGCCCCCAGACTGCTGCCGTTTTGCCTGCCCTCTACAACAGCACCAGCACGAGCTGCGGTTAGCCCGGAGCCACGCAAGGCCGAAGGCCAGCCAGCAGCACGTCGACCCCAGCCGCTCGCCAATGGCCCGCAAACACCGTGGCCTGTGGCTGACCCCAACGCAAGCTCTGGCACCCGAACGAACCTCTGGTTTGCAAGACAGTTTTCACAACGCATGAGGAAACACGTTTCTCTTCGAGACTTGTGCTCATCTATTTTGGCTAACATCAAGCAACAAAAGGTTCTGGAAGAAGAAGGGGACAAGAAGATAGGCAGGCTATGATCACATAGAGTGTTTAGGCATTGTTTCTTTAGGAAATTACTCATGTTTTGAAATTAGAAGAGTTCCACTACTAGTTCTAAGAACACCACAATTTTCAGTGAAAGAAACTGACTAAAAATCTTAGAGGGGATTGTGGTTTTTTGAAGGGGAGAGGGTCTGATTCTTTTTTGCTTAAGAAGCAGCAGGTTTGTTTACAGAACAGGTACTACTTTCCTGTTACTCATATTCCACCTGTGAAGATGCCAGAGCATACCAGTACAGTGTTAGCAGAAACACTGTTACAGCTTCCAGAACACAAAACCTGGATCTTCCAACAAGGTACAGACTATGCTGAGATGGAAGGGGAATAAACAGCACTTTCTCTACATTTACACTAGGTTCATCTTCCTTTTCAACCCTAAAGGGGTAAAAAGCTCTGAAAATATCTCATGTCCAAACCTGCAAACAGGTATGTACAGTTAGTCCCATTTAATACTTCTGATTCCCATTTTGGGCATACAAGTGAACATTTGCCAGGCTGAGACCACCACATTTTTATTTTAACAACAGAAAGGCAAAGCGTAAAAGTGTTTCTAAAATTTTGCCAGAGTAACTCTAGCCCATTGTACAGGTTCTTAAGTACATAACTGATGGTTGGACTCGATGATCTTAAAAGTCTTTTCCAATCAAATCATTCTGTGATAATTTTTTGCTTTTTTTCACCAGGAAAACCATATTGCTCTTCTAGACATTAATTATTTTACAACAAAAACTTAAGTAAGTAATTAGGCATTAAAAAAAAAATCCATAAACTCTTTCTCTTTTCACATTTGGCAAATGTCTTAGATGTGCAAACAATTACAGCAAATAGGGTTTATCACATCATTACCACGTTGCATATTTCACGGTATCTCCTAAACTGTGCTCAGTGAATCATTAATGCCCGAGCAGCAGGACCTGAGTTTATGTGTGCTGTGCTGGGATGGACACGAGGGCAGCCAGATACGGCCACCGCGTTCACCTCTGCCGATGAGATCCATGCCCCCTTCTGCTGGTGCCTCCCCAGACTGTATCCAGGTTCAGGTAGACCACGAGGCCGTATTTTGGTGGAGAGCTTGCTCTGGACTTCAAAGACACAGACTCAGATGTCTAACATGAAGCTAAGTACTACAGGAGTTGCTACCTAAGAGATTTTGTATCCCCCAAGTCTCTCGGAAACGTGTTACCCAGCACGCCACCAGAAATACAGTGTGCTGACAGAGATCTAGTGCAACGTTGCCACAAACGAGGTCAGAGCCATTCACCGAAGGCAAAGAGGCTTTAAGCAAGTTGACAGAGAAAGACAGCATTTCATTTTCCGTGAATGCTGAAGTAAGGAAAAACAGTAGCAGAGTAAGTTTAGTGTTACAGCAAATATTAAAATATGTACAGATTACCACAACACACCATTATTCACATGAATGGGTAAGTGTCCTGTGGAATGGAAAACACAGGTTAGATTAAGGATTTTTTTAAAAATGCAAATTACATCTATTAAGGGGTTACCTGATAATTCTACCTGCTTGAGTATCATTTACACACACGTCCCTTAATCTTAGTAAGCAACTGCAGGCAACCTGTCCTTGCCTGATTTACAGTCAGCACCTTTGTGTTTTCAACGAGTTCATCCTTTCCATCAAAGGCAGCTTTCCCATTCCTCTACCAGCTCCGTGGAGCACCTGCCTGCAGTGTAATTCCAATCACTTTTTCAAACCCGGTGCTACCACATGCTGTTGATAAACACTATTAACTCTGGAAAAAATATCTGGGACATTTTTCAGGAAGCGGGATGAGAGTTACCTCAGAGGAAACTTCCAAAGTCCTGCTCAGTGTAGCCTTTGGGAGAGCCATGGAAAAAGTGAGGGTATTCACTTCAAAGTCGGGAGGATGCATGTGAAAAGCTAGTAAGAGTAAGTGTTTGGTGTTTTGTGAAAGCATGGATACCAAATTAAAGGAAACTAGTTTACATAATTTAAATGCTACAATTTTGGAACAGAATCTCACATATTTGAATTTATTATAGTCCAAAAAATATTAATATTCCTTGGAAACAAATAAGAGGCGAGGCAAGGCCAGGATGGCCTCACTGCTTCACTATTTTTACTGGTCTTCTGGATGGCATTATTATCAAATATCCAAGCCAAAGAGCAGCGTTAATATTTGCAAGTATGCAATATTCTGTATCCTTGTTTCTCTCCTTTGACCTCCCAAATTACTATTTATTAACAATAATGAAAAAACATTCTCTAACAATGAATAAACCTCATTTTCTCTTTTACTGGATAACCTGTGGTTTCTACTTAGAGATCAAGGGGGAAAAGATCTCAGAAACAAGCAGAACTCTATGAAGGAATTATTTGTGCTCCAACCCTTTCCTTCATCCCCTTTTTTTTTTCCTTAGTACATGGGATTAGATTGCAAGAAAACTTTTTTAAAGGCTTCTGAAACAGAAACATTGTGGTTTATTACTATTAGAGCGCTAAAACCACCTTTCAACACAAAGCTCTATTGACAAGACCATTTTCACGAGGCAATGCTGCTGATCTGATTAAAAGATTTCTCCAAGTTTACAAAACTAACGGTACTGACACATTAAAAGTTCTGTAAGATGCTCAGTTCCTCCACTTCCGGGCCGCTCTCTCCAGTCACCATAGTACCTTTTTGTTCTACACTGGCTTTCTATCTAGAGCCAACTTGGGAAGCAGTTGTCTCTCCAGGAAAGGGCCACACGGCCTTCCAAGATTAAAGAACCAGACAAGTTCCTAAATCTGCAACTTCAATGATTACAAGTATCTGTTGTCATTAATCTGCAAACACACACAGTGATTCTCTGCTACTTCCTAGACAGTTACACTATGAGCTAATAGTCAAGGGCATGTCCATTATCCAAACCATATCAACACATGAAGGGCAACCACCTGAAAGGATAAACTCCTTAGAAACATTTCCAAATCTTCCCAAGTACAGCCAATTATTTTACCTTCAGACATGTCAGGAAGCCCCAAGGAGCCACTGATTCCAGAAGTGAGTGTCCTAACCAGAAGAGAAGGAAGCGCCCTCATGGTGCACAACCTACAGGCAGAGCGGATGAATTCAGTGTCATTAAAAAGAATGTCATGAAAACACTTCAGGATTTATTTTTGGAATGGTATTACTTCAGAAACCCCATTCCTGATTTTTAGAGCCAGATACAATCAGTACAACAGCTCAAGCCAGCTGAAATTCCAACTGATACCTCTCCTTATCTGAAAACAGGAAGGAAGAACAATTCATCATAGTAACTGTTCTCCTCACTGACTATTCAGATTCCTGGGGCAACCAGCTCAGACCAAACTCCAGATTCTACCCTGCAGACATCCTAACACAGAGGGGGTCCATGTGCATCTAGGAAATCATCCATGACCTAACCAGACACTTGGTTGGCATGCACAGCTCTGGAAGGTGGAATATCCCAAGAAGGTTTTAACAAGGCCTCCCACACAGTCCCACACAGTTAAGGTTGGTCTTCTCCACGTCTTAACGTTGCTACAACTCCGAACGAGCCTGAAGTGCAGCAAATAATCCTCTTAGCTGTTCAGCAAGATGGGACAACCATGAAACCCTTCAAAGAAGGTAAATCGCCCAGCAACTCAGTAAAACGTTCAACCAGGTAGTAGCCAGTGCGACTCCTCCGGGCAAGCAACACTGTGGTAACAGCAACACTGAGGGTCAACAAGAGTAAAACCCCTCCTGACAGCTCACAGCATTATCTTGACAAGGAACACGGGATACTTGTCCCTTACTTTTCTTCAGCTGCGGTGGGGGTATCACCTCTAAAAAGCAAAAGAGGCAAGTCCCCAGGCAGCAGCTGAAAGGCAGGGCCACGTACACGTCCCTCGTGTACTTACCTACTGATACCTATCGTGTACACACCAGCTTCCCCTGCCCGCAGGTGCACCAGGATTAGCGAAGAGTAGAAGGGGAACACAAAGAAACCCCTCAGAAGCCAGCGGTCTCGTACGCACCCCAGAGACGGCCTAACGGGCACGTGAAAACCCCCGATAACCCACACAGCTTCAGAACTAAACCCGTGCCTTGGGGCACTGCCAGCTAATGACTTCCCGCTCGGCCCAGCCCGCACCCCCGAGGCACCGCATCGAGCCCGGCGCCATCCACGCGCCCTGAGCGAGGTGACGGGCTGGCACTGACGAGGCCAGGCC